TTTTTTTTTTTTTTTTTTTTTTTGGGGAGGGGGGAGGGGGCAATGATAAAAAAAATCAAACTTTTAAATATAGTTTTCTCAGAGACTGAGAGTCAGTGGCAGGAAACCTACTCCAGTAACTAGTAGGACCATATTGACTGCTCAGTGTCATTATCACTTCTCATCACATTCACAGCAGAAAAAAACCTTTAGTACATGAATCATTTATATTTTAACTACCACTGCTACTGTTGTAGATACCTTGTGCACTCAGAAGAGGACCTCTGCCTTAGCTGCAACTTGAAGTGTGCTAATCAAAACCATACACAAAACCACACAAAATCTCTCTGACTTCTTATATAATAGTTTCTGATATAAGGTTGTGATTCTAAATTATTTTCACAATACACTTGCCTTTACTTTTCTTCGAAACAAAACTGGAGCATACTGATAAATGGCTTGCTGTCAAGTACCAATGTGTAAAAAAGGTAAACGAAGAAGTTGAATTACCTTCTTCAGTCATGTATCAAAACTAACTAGTTTTTATTAAACCATTCATACTTTCACAGTGGTTTGCATTTACCATTCTACCTTGTAACACTGAGCACCATTAAACATGACTTCCAGTTGCCTGACAGAAAAATAGGAAACAATATTCCCCTACTAGTGCCCATTCATATTTGCAAGTTTCCGAGTAGATTTTAAAAGTATTTATAAAAGGGGTAAGAAGATGAAAGTAACTAGGTCAATGTAGAAAACAATGAAATGAAACCCCTACACTGTTTTGAAAGTGTTGTTTCTTAAGTACTTGTAGCAGATTAAAATTAAGTATGAATATAGTGTGATTCTACCATATAGAGATCTATTGACTCCTGGAGTGAGCTGCAGCTGGGAGCTGGATGCAGGAACACACGGATTCGGGAATGCACAGATCAGGATCAAAGGCAGATAAATTGATAGAATCCTCTTAGGATGCCAGCTTGATCCTTGTGATTCTTCGAGTTTATACAGAGTATGATGCATCTGGGATGGGATATTTTGTTTGGTCAATTTTGTTCACCTGTCTGGTCCACTCCTCCCCAAAGAAACGTCGCAGATTTGACCCCTTTATTACCTTCTGGCTCCAGAGCATAAGATGTTTTTCTTTTTTTTCAGAATCAAGCAGTGGCCTTGGTTCTACACACCATTCTCTAACCATAACCATAAACATGAAGCGTTATCAGTCCTAGAAGTGGACACTGACTGAAAATCATGCCATTTATCTGTTAATTTCAGGAAGTGCAGCTACTTAGAAGAGACTTAACTGAAAAGTAAAATTACTAGAAAGAAAATTGTTTATATCATGGCTCAAAGCAGAACAGGGTTCATCCACTTAAACAACTGCCTTGAGTGTGCCCTCAATATGCCCTACCAAAATGACCCAGCCCTTCTTCTCTCCTTAACAGACAGCACTTCTAAGAAACTCATATTCACAAACATCTGACCAGGGCTGGGAATCCACAACCTTTAACACATACATCTGGCTTTGGATTTAGGCACATGACAACTGTGGCTTCCTCGGTCTTCACTTAAAGCCTGTTGGATATTGCAAAGCCTTTGCATTCTGTAACAACTATCTGTTAATTCTGTCTTGTGTCATCCAGCAAAAACCAAGTGTCCTGTAGGGACACATCCAGTAAAATAGTTACCAAATAATTGATTCCTTATGGGAATAAAAACTTAATATTCAGTCTAGTCAGGTCTCTGTCACCAGTACCTTCACTTACTATTTAATGAAGCAGGAAGTCAGAGCCTTCAACATACACTAAGGTTTCCAAAAGAACAGTCCTTTTGCAAACAGAAAATATAAACCCTTTTCACACTACCATTTAGAGTAAATGATGAATCTAACCAGTTATAATCATAAACTCTACAGTCATAAATTAAGCTGGATTCTAACAGACTGTTACAAAGTATTTCACTTCAGCACTCACTGAGAATAAATCAACCTCTTTGACAATCTTACAGAAGTTTTGATGCCTGTTATGTTGTGGAAGGACAATGGTGGTACCATGTGTTTTGAGATGCTATCATATTTCCTGCGTTCTGAACTACAAGAAAAGATAGAAAAGAAACAATCCTTTGAAAAAAAACATAAATTGAAACATACTCTAACAGTCTTGACCCGTGCTGAAATATCTAGGAGCACAAAAATGTACCCCTGAACACAAGCTTTCATATCCCTGCCATAAACTCGTGCCTTAAATAACCCTCTTCACAGCCAATTTGGTAAGTCTTGCTAAGAAATAAGTAGTTTTCTAAATGTTGTTTTGCCTCAAGCATCTATTCCACTACACTGCAGTATGTTCAATGACATAAGATTTTGGAAGATACACATCTGTGAACAACATTTGAACAGGTTGCCCAGAGAGACTGTGGAGTGTCCACCTTGGGATATATTTAAAATCTGAATAGACATAGTCCTAAGCAAGCTCTAGCTAGTCTTGCTTTGAGCAGGGGAGGTTTAGGATAGATAATCTCCAACGATGCCTTACAAACTTTTCTGTTGTGTGATGCTGCGATTTTCAACAAGTCAGTATTCCTATGCATTATTTTACAAGTTCAAAACCATCCAAAAAAAGAAATTCTAGAAACATTTCTGTGTTTATCACCAACCATTGGTACTAACAGATACCCACTACTGCTGACACTAACTTTCACTTTAAGCCAATTGCCTATTTAAATTAATACCTTGCATTCTTTGAATGTTACTGTGGCATTAGACACTATGTATTTTTCAGCAAAATACAGTATAAAACATAAATTTCAACTGAAAATAATTTAATTGCATATAGTATGCTACATACTCCTATATGCAGTTCTGCTGACTTCTATTGTCATTAACTTCCTAACTGTCTCATTTCTATCACATAGCTGTTAGTGAGTTTTACTCACTGAAAGTTATTGAAATTCCAGAGGAGCTAAAGGGGAAGAGTATTTTTCTTCAAAATAAGTAAGTATTATCTTACATGAAACATGAAATATTCAGAAAGTTAAAAAAGAATTTTATAATGAACTATAAAATATTATGTTTTTATACAGAAGAGATACTGAGTAGGCTGCTGGTAGGAATGTTGTGCTAAAGCAAACAAATTTGTCAAAGATACCTTAATTTGTTTCATTCAAATATTTCTGAATCACTTTAATAGTAATACTTTTTAGTAATTCTAGCGGTACAAATAATATATGTATCACCTGAAAAACTGCTTTTTATGCATTAGAAAAACACATAGAAACTAGGGTTCTGCAGAAAGATAAGTAAATTTGACAATAATACCGAAATATTAATGATAAACCTACCTTGCCTACATACTGATAATCAGATCCTGTGTATTCCTCTAAGAGAAAAAACTGGTTCCACATCCAGCCTCGCTTCTGGCGGTGAATCGCTTTTCCATCAATCCCTAATGCACGTCCTCCAAAGCTTTTGGGTCTGAGATCAGGAGTCCGTCTGAACAGCATTTCTGTATTGCAGGGATATGGCAGCCACATCCAGAGCAAAAGAAGTAACAGGACTTGCTGTATTGTCATAGTTCTCCACAGCTAATGCTCTTCTAGCTAGTCAGAGATGTTCTCTTTTCTTTGATTTACTTTTTATGTCTCTAGTTGCAGGTGCAGTCAGGCAGTTTCCAGCAACTCATTTCGGAACTGTACATAGTAGCCAAGCCCTGAAAGTAAAGAGGGGAGAGACAATGTGAGTTGAAATGCATTCTCTCTTAGCACAAAACATCCTTGCTACTGTACCAAGGAGATACAAGTAATAGAAAGCAACATGTTTAGGAATAGAAAGGTTTTCCAGATAGGCAGAACGTTGTGAATTTCAGTTAGCTGCTGTCAAAACATTTTATAAGGAAGAGTGCCCCATAAAACCCTATGATTTAGAAACTTCTAAGCGTGTTCTTTATGTAGACTGGGGGTTTAATATTGCTGAAACTTACACATAAAATACTTCTGCCTTTGCTTGAAAAGTTTTCTGCCCCATTTGATTTACAAGAATGCCAGTGTTACATTAATCTTACTATCAAGTGGCCTGAAAAGCCAACACAAAGTAGTTTTAGAAATGAGGAAAATGTAATAGACCAGTTCCCAGGGTGTTTTAAATGGTAAAAAGAGAGTATCAAATGCATCAGAAGAAATACAACATGACAAGAAGTTCTTGAGATGATGTTGCAATAAGGAGTGATGCAAACTTAGTCTTAAAGTGTAAGGAACATTCAAAAAATGAGGGTCTGTTTCGTAGGTATCCTGAATAACTAATTTTGGAAAATACTGAAATAGATCTTACTGTGGGAAGTGGTACTGCAGAGAGATGGCAAGCCTTGCCTAGCTTCTCTTTCTTTTGTTGCCACCCTTTTCTGGTTTATTTTGTTTTCTGCTTGTTTTTGCGGTTTTTTTTCCTTCTTCTGACAGAACAATGAAATGGTATTTCAGCAAGACAAATTTAGCCAGGTTCTCATCACTTTATTTCCATCCTGGCATTTAAAGAGTAACATGTTTCGCTCATGATATAATTTGGTAACGTTTTCCTGCAGTAAATAATGAAAATCTATTATTTGTTTTCTTAATAAGGTATAATTCTTGCAAACTTTAACCAGGGTGTTTTCTTTATTTTAATTTTTTTTTTAGCATGTTCACAGAAAACAAAATGCATAGATGGCGGTTGCAGTTACTTACATATTCTTCCACATGTGGCACGAAACTCAAGTTTGGGTTGTTTTTTTCCCTCTTTTCTGATTTTGATAGATAAGCAACGTTGCACACATGAATACCATGTGTCTTCTGGTTTCAATACTGTACTATAGCTCACTACCATCTAAAATATTTTAAAACTATTTTTAAAAACTGAGCTATGTAAAAGTTTCAGAAAATCGGTGTTTCAGTTTGATACTGAACTGCTACTTATTCCCATTAAGCCTGTGTTCATCAAAAAAATTTGCAATAAAATGTCAGGAATGTAGGGTGGAAAGCCTATAATACAGTGATTTCTTACAGTTGAAATACTCTGCGTGCCTGTGCGTTTGTTAAAAACTGGACAGATTCAGTTCAGGAAATAGCTTTTGTCTTCAGAGTTATGTTCTCTTAAGAGAATGTTTTCCCCTCTCCTCCAACATCTGGAAGACTAAAGAACTTTTCAAAGCCACTGCTTTCAAGGACTTTAGCCTGAAAACTTCACAGTAACTCACAGGTGTCCTTTACCATTTGTCTTAATAAACACCATGTTAGGTATTGTTTAATTTGCCCCTTCCTTTCTCCTAAAACTGTGACATTTACTTTAACTGTGAACTTTGAATAATACTCAGAACAACACGCTCTAGTATAAGCCACTGAGCACATATGCTGAATTATATGAGCATGTACAGACTGGAGACATGGCCCTCTGCCTTGGAAATAACTCAGACTTGTGTTATTTGAAACCATTCAAAACTGAATGAGAGAGGAGGACTATGATTTATTCTCAGATACTTAGAAATGTTTCTCCTCAAAACCATAGGAATTTCAAACTTGAAATCACCTTTTCAGGAGATTATTTTTTAAAGGTATTGAGGATTTTTAAAGGGAAATATTTTCTTCTTTTTTGCTAGATTTTTTTTCTTACTCTTTTTTTCACTTTTCTTGTTGCCATCAGTATATATATTTCATTATTCACACTTTATTTTTTGATGCAGAAATGTTGTTAAATTCCTCTTGGGAAATAATGCTTCAGTATTAGGGGTTGTTATTGAATTTACTTCTTGTTAAATTAGGTCAGCAGAACGAAAGCTCAGATGAAATTTGTTATAGTTACAGAAGTAGCTAATGCACATGGACTTGGCAAGCATGGCTGCTTAATAGATGTCTGGACCAGCAAGGCCTTTTCCCTCCTTTGAGACCCCTGTTGGGAGTTCAGCTTCCTGCTATAAATGTAATAAATTTGATAGTAATCTACACTAAAGCAATAGCATTTACCTTAAAAAATAAGCTTGCAAACAGAGAAAATCAGACTGAATGAATATTAAATAAAAAGCGCTGGAATAATTGTAATGTTTGAAAAGAATGGAATTAAGGAAATCTTTTAATATATAACTACAGAAAATGGACAGAAACCCCAGTTCTGTAATTGCATATCTGTGTTCCATGCTACCTTGCTAGAGCTGGAACACTCAGTGGCAGAAGATAAATTTATCAATTGTTTGTTGTTGTTTTTTTTTTAATTCCCTAGGAAAATAAATTGAAATTTTTTTTGTGAAAATCTTATCTTAGAAGAGGGTATGATATTTGCTGTATAGTGTACTTTGGTCAAACATGACATGATTTTTAAATTTTGTAACATTTCCAAAAGTTTGTTTAAAGAAAGATATTTATGTACTGTCATTTCTATTTTGACAATTCTATTTCACTTAGAAGCCATTATCATTCATATGTCTAATCTTGTCTTTCAGTTATTTTTTGCTATGTTTGTACAAAAGAAAGATATTTTTTGAACCAAAGATTCTTCATGACAATTTAGGTTAAACTGTATTCTAATTTTATGCAGTAAACAATCTTTGACTTTATTACCATGGAATACAATGGACCATATTTTGTTTCTGCTTGTTTTTGCTCTGCAGAGCTGACACCAGTAGAGCTAATCTTACAACCACAGTGAGAAACCTTTATACTACCCCACTTCTCCAAATGTTTTGTTGCACTCCAACCACCAGTAGACAGCTGCCACCACATGCTGAAACCATTTTTCAAAGTGGCAAAATTCAAAACCCTGGCTAGTTTTTGAAATAATAGAAACTATTTAACAAGCTAGTAAAAACTGAAGTATGAAGGCAGCTAAGTGCAGAAAAAACCTGCCTTCTCAATGAGCCTCAGAAGAGCCTCCAGGTCAGCTAATTTAGTTGTTTTAACTTATTTACCATCTTTTTATCAAAAACACAAAGTTTTAATGCTTTAGAGCACAGTATGATGAAACAAGTTCTTTAAAATAACACCTTTGTGAGAGCGTCTTACCTAAAACACAAAAAAATATTTTCTTCCCTCTGTAAGTGTAACTTACGGGTGTAAGTTATCCTTAAGTGAAAAATAAGACAATATTTTTATAAAGGTTTGTAAGAATGTTTGAAGCAAATAAGTGAGCTTTTTCAAATGATCTGTTCTTAATGCATTCTAATTTCATCATTCCTTGTATTATAGATTTATATTCCTTGCTTTATCTATTGTACCCTGATTAAGCTGCCTAAAGCCATTCATAATTTAATTGCCTAGTTATGAACTGAGGAGATAATTGGTAATTTCTCAATAAGCTGCTTATTTCATAGCTTCCACCAGAACACCTACACACCACAGTGACCACACTTCCAGTTACTAAAATATAACATGAATTTGCAAAGTAGTCATCTATACCATCAAATTTTAGAATTCCAATCCTCTTTATTAAGTCTTTCAGGCCTTGATCCCCTTAGGAGTTTCGATTGAATATGTATAGTTTGATTCTAAACTAAAGAATGTAACTAACATTTCAGGAATTATGTATTTTAATTAGTAATAGTAATCACGTTTCCCAATTGTCAAAACTTCGCTCAGATTAGAGTTTCTCATATTGTTTTCATAGTTTGTGGGGACTGAAAAACAAGCAGATGAAACAAAGGAAAAGAAAGTACTGAGAATTATAACTTTGGCTACAAGAGCTAATGAGTATTTTAGGCAATAGAGAGATTACATAGAAGTATACCTTGCATCTTATTTTTAATAATATTTATGTAACACAAATCCTAATTGTTATTAAAAAATAAGTTAACATGCATAATACTGGTTTCAAAGGCAAAGGTTAAAGATTCAGTCTGCCTTTCACTGGTAGCTCAGTAAAAGTGATATGCAAAAAACTAATACAATAACCTGAAACACATTAAACCAAGGAGGAAGAAAGCATAAACACCTCACTCCCTGCTGCAGAGAACACTGTCCTCCTCCCTCTAAAGATTTCTGGATGCTTCACTGCAACCCCTCCCCATTCTTTGTAAGGAAGACTGAAATTCTGTGTCTTAAGACACAGCAGGACAGTGAAGGGGTGAGCAGAACACCAAAGGAAGAGCATAAAATGTTAGTAAATTACCTTGCATGACAATAATGTCTGCTTATTAATCAGGCTCTTCTGAATTGATTAGATATACTTAGATACCTAACAATAAATCTTAGCTCTCTATCTATAGTCAATTCACTTTTTCTTACAGCAAGACAGAATATCACACTATTATGGTAGACCTCTTATGATGGGTTAACATGCACAAAGACATGAAGAAGCTTTTTAAAACTTTATAATTTATGTCACCTGTGAGGTCCCAAAACCATTTCAATCCTTGCTGCAACCTGTTCTCCCTTCTAGATGATTCTTTCCTATCTGAGTAACTGAGTTAACTTTCACAGGTCTTGGTAGCCACCCAGTAGTTTTCTACATAATATCAATGAACAATTAGAAAGTTAATTTATTGAATTTCAAGTCCTAACTTCCTCCTCCTCAGTATTAAAACAACAACAAAACAAAAGAGAATGAAAATTCAAAGTATTCCTCCAAAATTAAATAAATTATCTGAAATGTGCTGGGTATTATTTTAAAAAACACAAAATAGAAACTACTATCACAATTTGAATCACAATTGGCAACTGAACCGGCGAAAACAGTGCTCTCGATCCCCTCCCACCCAT